CAGCTACCTCTACGTCGCTGCTGCTTGCCTGCCCCACTACCACCCCAGCTTCCACCTGTAGGCTCCGGGGTTAGTTATTTAATCATCACTCATCGTGCTATGTATATCTATGGAGTGATGATGCCCGAGCCTAGTCGCCAAACTCAACTATATGCTTCTAATAAACATGTTAAAGGAACACGTGAGTTGTCTGACTGAATTACATTTATGGCCCGGGACCCGTGTTGGGTGTAACGTGTTACAGTAATGTATTACTTTTTGCTGTAACGAAGTAATGTAATGCATTAGTAATGACATTTGGGTAATATACTACCTGTTACAATTCTCAGTAAAGCAGTTACAACTCATTTTAACCCGAAATGAAATGGTGTTTTGTTTTTTAAGAATTCACTAACATCGCAAGACATTCCGACACCAGAGAAAAATTGTGCCGGTAGATTAGTAAATCTGGTGTATACGTAATCTGAAGGGTGTTCTTTTCCCCATAATGACCAAGTCGCAGCACAGCCCCGGTGAGATGATAGTGAACTGTTCATGAACTTGTCATGAAAAGTTCATGGAATATTAGTGAACCATATTCATGAACAGCTCATAAACAGCTCATAACAAGTTGATGAACTGTTCATGAAAGTTCCATGAACATTAAATGGCACTAGGGCAGTTCATGAACTACTCATGAAACTCCTGTTCTGGAATGGTTCACGAACAATTCATGGAATATGGTTTTAGGCAGGTTCATGAACAATTCATGAAATGGAGTTTTCAGTGAGTGTAGGGATATTCAGTATTCAACCAAGAACATTTCAAGAATTGTTCATGAATTAACCATGGTTCATGAACATATCAAGAACTGTTCATAACAACTTCATGAACAGTTCATACCCAGTCACTGAATATAATTCAATGGCTGGCTATGAACTGTTCATGAACTGTTCATGTACATGAACCATTGACTGTGGGTCAATTGGCAACCATAGAAAACAACAATTATGTCAATCACAATGGAACTTTATTCAAATTAACAAACATACAAACATACATGTATACAGGTGGAGCACTACAATGAATCCTATCACTATTTGAAGCACAGTTCTTGACACTCAGCTGCACACATTTTTTTGTTACGGGTCCCAAAAGCTTGGGTACCACAGCAACAATAAATGATTTCTGTAGAAAACAGAAAAGTGCAGCAGCAATAATTATACACAGGATCCGGTTGATCGTCTGGATTGCTTCTTATTCAAAATTCAAAGTACACAGTTACATTCAAATAGCTGTACTTTACAAACATCACATTTCTCCATTTAAGTTATCCGTCTGTCACATTACTGTATCTCAAGGAGAAATTCAACATAGTCAATATAAACACATAACGCTATCAAATAATACTTTCTATCAATATATCTATCTTTACCAAATATGCGAACATATTATGGAGATCACAAAAATACACTGTCAATGTTAATAAACAAAAAACAAGGCAATGTGCCTGCAAGACTTCACTCAGGTAAACAAAACATATTACCCGTGCGCAGCAGCTAACCTGCCTGCGAGCCTTCGCTCAGGTCACATTTACCCAGGCGCGGCTGAAGCCCGCGAAAATGGCATCGATTGTTGCCGACAGTTTAGTATTTTTAAAATACCGTTACTATGTCAAACATGCTCAAAACTTTCTGACACACTCTCCTAAACATCTCCAACATCATATCTAATTCACACAAGTTAACATCGATCATTTTCATCATGTACTGACCTGTAGAAAACAGAAAAGTGCAGCAGCAATAATTATACACAGGATCCGGTTGATCGTCTGGATTGCTTCTGACTGGAGGGGCGGAAGTGTCCCCCCTAAGATAACCCAGATGTCACCGCTCACCTGCCAAAGGTTCCACCTTGGCGCTACTTACTCGTACTGCTTCTCAAACAGTACAGATAAACCATAAAATGATATGAATGTCACCAAAATAAATACAGATAATGTTCAGTTTCAAATGCACTATTGTTTTGTTTTAAGATTAAAAGTTTTAAAAAATAAAGAAATGTTCAAATAGTAGATGAATATTCAAGAGGTCTTTAAAATCATCACACTGATCATCAAAAGTTCATAAAATGCTCATGAATATTCAAAAATATTCTGAACTTGCCACAATCATCCAAAATTCATGAAATGCTCATAGTCATGAAAAGTTCATGTAATGCTCATGCAAACTTTTTGGGGTTTTAATTATAATTTTGTGATTGGCTGGATCATGAAAAGTTCATAAATTGCTCATAAAAGTCTGTCATGAGCAAAACAGGAACTTTATATGAATGAACAATGTTCATAAAAATGTCATGAACTGCTCTTTAAAATGGTTCATGAGCATTTTAAGAATTTTGGTTCATCAACATGACAAGTGAACATATAATGAGTTGTTCATGAATGTTTCATGAGTGCTCATGAACAGCTCATAAAGTCATGAACTCCATCTCGCAGGGGATTATCCCGCTTATTACATGCCCAGATACTAAACAAACTAAGGAATCGACTCCCAATATTAATTGAAATTATGTTATTGACTTTAAATGATCATATTTCTTCCGCTAAGAAAAAAAAAAGTCCGTTCCACGGCGCACCAACGGCTGGAACTGTGACAACAACGACTTTACGGCAGCACTGTCCAACTCTGTTCACAGTTTCTGATCAACTAACAAGTCCTTAAACACTGCAGAGCCCATACCGTGTTCCTGTTAGTGTTTACTTCTTGTCTGTCTTCCTCTGTTTATTTATCTGACGTCCAGCGCTCCGTCTTTTACCCTCTTTTACTTTCTCTTTCTTGATCCTCCTTAGCAACTGAATTGACCAATCAGAATCGAGTGTTCAACTAAGCCTTGTAATACAAGTTGTTAGTAGCCTTAAGGGCCTACACAGTTGCTGCACTAAACTACATTTTAGCATTTAAAATACCTAGCCATTATTTTGCGGTTATTTTGGTGAAAGTAACTCAAAAGTAATATAAAAGTAGTGTATCTCATTACATTTCAGAGACAGTAATATTGTAATATTATTACTTAAAAAATAAAGTAATAAGTCATATGTAATGTATTACATTTTGGAAGTAACTTGCCCAACACTGCCCGGGACACACATATGTATTTAGTTATGTTTTATGACCATTCAAAGCCAAGTTTGCTGGCCCGTACACTGTTGAGAGTAAAGTGTCAGATCAAAATTACTTGATTGCAACTCCAAATCGGAGGAAGTTGTCTCAACTGTGTCACGTCAACCTCCTGAAACCGTACTATGTTCGTGATACCGTTGGGGATAGCTTCATGACTAAAAAGTTGGGTGTGGGCCCAGTGGTGTAGCTGTGGGTGGGCCCGGGTGGGCCTGGGCCCACCCACATGCACGTCTGGCCCACCCACAGCCAATCAGCGCTTCATAGCGCAGAGCCGGGAAGCCCAGAAGGATGTGCCACAAACTGCAGTTCATCTAGTGGCCGCCGGATGGATGCAAAAAGGAGCAATTCCCATAGACCCCCATGTTAAAATGCCCAACTTTATAGCAGAAATAAACATGTTTCTAGCCTGGATCCAATAAAACTTATTCCGGATATAGTTAGATTCCACCTTCATGACAATGGAATAGGGACTGCCTATTTTTACCGTGAGTTTTTATAGTAAGTAAAGTAACTTTTGCCGTGAGTGAATGAGCGAGGGAGCGGGGCAGTTTACACACACGCAGCTGCTCCATGCAGCAACACACACACACACACACACGGAGGAGATGGCGGAGAGAACGCGCTCCGAGGTGTGGTTAAACTATAGCCGTGTCGATGTGGAAAATACTCGTTACCAAAAGTGGAATAAGAGTTTAGCATGTAAGGGCGGTAACACGAGCAATTTGTCTAAACATTTATCAAAAGTGCTCCACATTCAGACGGAGAAATGCACCGGGTTCGACTGTCTTTCTAGCAGCTCTGTAGCTCCATCCACGAGTAACGTTTACACGTCAGGTGTTATGTATGCTAGCAGCAACACACAGAGTTAACTACATGATACAAACATGGGTTAATGATTAGAGGAAACTGAGTTATTTATTTTGTTAAAGTTTCAGCTATTCTGTTTACAATTCTGTCATCAGATTATTTAATACGATTTGTTAAAACATTGTTGTTTCTTTTGATGTGAAATATTATTTATTTAATTGAAATAAAAAGCAATGTTAATTTTGTTCACAATTTGTTTAGTTAGTTTACTTTATTTTTTTCTCCAAAAGAACCGATAAAAGTAGGTGTTAAAGGACCGGATCGATAAGACATAGACATAGAAATACTTTATTGTCATTTCAACAAGACACAGAGTGTACTATTAAAACGTACTGGTTTACAGGAACAGGATAATATAAAAACTTGCTAAAATTGTACATATAAATAAATAATAGTGACGTGGTGCTGATAAAATTAAAGATAAAGTGTGCGTTTAAAATATAAAGACTTACTATAGCCTACATATAAATAAAATAGACATATTATATAACAAGTGCTCTTTACACAGCGTAATGTAATCTCTGTGTTACTGGTCTACTTGCTGTTCAGCAGTCTGATGGCATGGGGGAAAAAGCTATTGCAGAATCTGGCTGTTCTGCTCTTAATGCTGCGGAACCTCTTGCCGGAGTGGAGCAGGGAGAACAGAGCATGGTGAGGATGAGTGGGGTCTTTAAACATGTTCTGGGCTTTTGTCAGGCAGCGTTTCTGAGCGGTGTCTCTGATGGGAGGGAGAGAAACTCCGATGATCTTCTCTGCTGTCCTAACCACTCTCTGCAGAGACTTCCAGTCTTTGGCGTTGCAGTCTCTCGACCAGATGGAGATGCCGCTGGTCAGCACGCTCTCTATGGTGCTTCTGTAGAACGTGGTGAGGATGGGAGGGGAGAGCTGTGCAGGAAGTGTAGGCGCTGCTGTGCCTTCTTAAATAGTGATGTCGTGTGAGTGGACCAGGTCAGACTGCTTGTGATATGTGTGACCCACACAAAGTGTGTGATCACAATTGTATGTTTATATTTAATATCATTTTATATTACCTGTTTAACAATGGACAGCAGGGGGCAGTAGATGGCAGAGTAACACTGCCGTAAAGGGGTTTGTTATTATTTACGCGTCTACCGTAACATGTCTGACGTGATGACGGAGCTGTCGTTAGCTTGCCATTCTGGCAAGATCCGCCAAACGAGCAGTAAAAGGAATTCTCTGCTCATAATTTCTCGTGTTTTACAGGTCAGTAATGTGTACAGATTGTCACAAATGTTATAAATCACAATGTCTTAAGTTTGAAGTGGTGTTTAGATGTTGTTTATTATGTTTAATGCCGTGTAGAAGACCACCTCGTGGTGGCTGTGTGTGTATGTATATAATGGCGGTCGCTAGTGATACAAGTGAATTGTTTATAGCTAAGAAGTGTTTTAGGTGTGTTTTGTATGGTCTATGGGTGCTATGGTCAGTCATAATTTAATTATTATAAATGCGTGTTGCTTGATGCTAATGCTAGCATATATTAGACCAATGCTAATACTTTGCCTGAAAAGGTAATTAACAGTGTTTGAATACAGCACCAATATCTGTTTTGAAGCAGTACATGCTTATTTGGAGTCATGATGTTAATGACACTTGGTTATACACAAATGTGTTTATTTTTGAATACTTCAAGCATACAAGTATATTTTGAAGACATGAACATGTGTTTATATTGAGAGCAGTAAAGGGCAAGGACAATTGTGTTTTGTGCCAATTGTTAATAAAATTCTGGCAAGATCCTCCAAACGAGCAGTAAAAGGAATTCTCTGCTCATAATTTCTCGTGTTTTACAGGAAATACTATCTGTCATCGCGCCCTGCATAGCGGGGCCTGTTACATATGCACCCCCGGGAACTTGGTGCTGTCTGTAGTCTTCACTGCTGTGCCGTTGATGTGGAGTGGTGGGTAACAGTGCTTTTTGTTCCTGAAGTCGACAATGATCTCTTGTTTTATCGACATTCAGGATCAGGTTGTTGGTGTTACACCAGTCTGTCAGATGTTTCACCTCCTCCCTGTAGGCCTGTTCGTTGTTGTCCCTGATGAGTCCCACCACTGTTGTATGGTCCGTGTACTTTATGATGTGGTTGGTACTGAACCTGGAGCATAAGCATAAGCGCTAAAAGTAGTAGTACCGTTGTGTACCCTATGTGGATGTCAGTTTTACACACATTCTGAGGCCGCCGTGCCTATGTTTTTGTTTTCACTGCTAATTTATGCTTATGTTCTATTAGTGCATTCAAAAATCATTAAAATCATTAATGAAGTTTCAGCTCAGACCCCACGCTTAATATGTCTCCCCCCGGCCCACCTACATTTCTCCAGGCCCACCCACACAATAATTCCTGGCTACGCCACTGTGTGGGCCCCATAATGATGGTTGATTCTGTGCTTTCAGATCGAGGGTTGGCTGAGGAGTGTGATGTTAAGGCACCAGATGAACCTGTTATGTCTGGTAGGCTGAGGAATTCGGAGTCGTTATGCCAATTGGATCGCTTGTTGAGTCACTTACCGGCAGCACAGAGAGATGAATTGGCGGCTTTAATCGGGAAGTTTGTGGTACTGTTCGGCGATACGCCATCGCGCACAACTCTCGTGGAGCATGATATCGACGTGGGGGACAGTCCTCCAATTAAGCAGCGATTTTATCGTTGTAGGGTGCTGGAGGCTGAGGTCCAGTACATGTTGGACAATCAGATTGCAGTACAGTCGTTCTCCAGTTGGGCGTCTGCTGGTTGGCAAATCAGATGGGTCTCCGCGGTTTTGTAACGACTATCGTAAGGTTAATAAGGTGACAAACAGATTCTTACCCGTTGCCACGGATGGAGGACTGTATTGACTTGGTGGGCTCTGCTAGATTCGTCAGTAAATTCGACTTGTTAAAGGGGTACTGGCAAGTTCCTTTGACATGTTAACTGTGTTCTTATTCTCAGCGTCCAGGAAAGACCAATTGTTAACTGTGTTCTTATTCTCAGCGTCCAGGAAAGAGAAGCTTAAAAAGGAGACTAAATGGAGTCTCTGGAGGTTCAAAATTGGTACTTTAATTAATAAAAAAGGTAAAGTCACAAACAGGATATGGTTCGACAGGAGAGAAAGTCTGCAGCTTCCTCTCCCCGGTGCTGGCCGTGCATCAGAGTCCTGCATCGGTCCTTTTTTGCGGGTACCCGACGGGTGACACGCAAAAAAGGTGATTCGCGGGTGGTATTTTTTCAAACGCTTTTTTCCGGGTTCGGTTCTGGGTAAAACAAAGATGATGCGGGTCGGGTCGCGGGTATTGCATAATAAATATATTAAAATAATAATAAATTAGTTTAATGTTTAAAATCCTCAGACCTCTCCCCCGCGGGACCGCGCATAATCATAACCTCTGCAGCGCATCAATCTGCTGCTGTGCGCGCCACATTCGAAATGGCTGAGGTGAAGCTCTCTAGCGGAGAATACAGCATTTTCAATAACACTTCCTCAAGAGCGAAATCCAACGTCTGGGAGGCTTTTGGTTCCTAGATGGAGGAAATAACCAACATCCCACGCTTTCTGAGACAAATATGAAACTGCGTGTGTTAATACTTGCACGTTTTCACTGCTCATAGGCTATGCGGGTTCGGGTCGGGTTGCGGATCTTGTGCCGACGGGTCGGGTCGGGTTGCGGAACTAATTGGCAATATGTGCGGGTAGCGGGGCGGGTTCGGTATTGCACGTCGCGGGTGCGGGGCGGGAGCGGGTCTTGAAAATCAGACCCGTGCAGGACTCTGCCGTGCATAAGAGCTTACAAGCATTCGTCCTTCCCGCTTGCTCGCTGTTCGCTCCTCCTCTCTGTGAGCTGTAGTGACGTAAGGGACTTCCCCCTCTCGTTCGTCTGTGTCCGATATCGCGTTAAACAGGATTTCGACATTTTACATTCATTGCTTACTTCCACATGCCTTTTCTCCTCCTTATCTCTTTCATAACTTTATATGTAATACATGTTAACGGCGTCAATAGCCACTTTAATGATACTAATGGGCGGTAGTCCCGGATGTCGTCATGAAGGATTTTCAGAATAAAAGCTTAACAACTGGTTGTGCACAAGAACTTCTGGTTTTTCAGTATAAAACAGCATTTAAACTGACGGTATGTTTAGGGTACATTATGCTATCAAAACATTGATTTTAATTTCTAACAGACAGCGCGTGCGCAAAAGATTTCAGCGTTTGTTACACCTTTCGGTCTGTATGAGTATACAGTGATGAGTTTTGGGCTTTGTAATGCGCCAGCGACATTTCAGCGCCTCATGAACATGGTGGTAGCTAGTGCTGTAGCGACGCGTCGACGTCGTCGACGTCTTCAAAATATCGTCGACGACATATTTACGCGTCGACGCGTCGCTACACACACGTGGGTCACCCAAAGCAACAAGCAGTTCGCAATCGCACTTCAAACACAATGGAGACTGAAACGGCTACCACCTCCTCCTCACAGGATTGCGCACGAAGCCCCCAAACGAAAACATCTCGCCCTAGGTCTTCAAAAGCATGGGAATATTTTAAAGTTAGTCCAAAACGCAAAGATATTTATATATTTATATCTCACTGAGACTGCTGCATAGCCTAGCAGAAGCAGCAGCTAGCTGTGGTGGCTACCATTAGCAGCTAGCATTTGCTCTCCGATGTTTTACATAAAATGGAATTATGGATTATAAATTCAATCATTTTTTTATACATAGACGTTAAAAACCTATGGATTAACCGATTCAGCCGCGTTTTTTCTCATTTTAATGCCATTGAACACGTCTTTTGATCAGATTGACAGCTACGGTGGTGAGACGATCTCCCTAGAAGCTCTGTGAAGGTACGTGTTGTGAGGACTGTATTTGCTTCCCCTGTCGCGAGTCCGGATCACTCAGTGATGATACTATATACCTACATAATCTGTGGAGTCTCAGCTTTAATCGGATATATTGTATGTGCAGCTACGATAAGTAATAAGGGTACTTTTATCTTGAGTTCCGTGCCAATGTCCGTTAGCATTTTTCGCTCAGGGGTCATTTAGATGCTTCTTATGAGACTTGTGTTTTGTTTTGGTAAACATGGTTTGTATCGTCAATTAGCTGAGATTATTTCCGTTAATCTGGTATAACACATTAATAGGTTCTTAAATATTAAGATCCCCTGAGACACAGTATCGTGAAAACATTTTTTTTTACATTACGTTTTTTTTACATTACGTTTTTTATGAATTGAACAACAGAAAAATAATCGTTAGATTAGTCGACTAATCGATCAAATAATCGCCCGATTAATCGTTTTCAAAATAATCGTTTCCCCCCAGCACTAGTGGTAGCAGGTCTTGAGGGGGTTGCTGTTTATCTTGACGACGTAGTGGTGTTTAGTGACACATGGGATGACCACATCAAACGCATTGGTGCTCTGTTCTGTCGCCTGGCTGAGGCGCATCTCACTGTTAACCTGGCCAAGTGTGAGTTCGCTAGGGCGACAGTGACGTACCTTGGCCGGGTGGTCGGCCAGGGACAAGTTCGTCCGGTAGACGCGAAGGTGCGGGCCGTTTTGCAGTTTCCTGTGCCCACTACTAAGAAGGAACTCATGCGGATCCTAGGTCTGGTCGGGTACTATCGCGCCTTTTGTAAGAACTTCTCCACAGTGGTTGCACGCCTGACTGATTTGCTGAAGGGTACAGTCAAGTTCATTTGGTCTGACCAGTGTCAGGTAGCGTTTGAGAATGTGAGGACCCTGTTGTGCTGTGCTCCGGTTCTCGCTGCGCCGCGCCTCGATGAGCCATTCAAACTGGAGGTTGATGCTAGCCATGTTGGGGCAGGTGCGGTTTTGCTGCAAGAGGTTGAGGGTATTGATAGGTCAGTTTGTTACTTCTCAAAGAAGTTTAATTCGTACCAACTCAATTACTCAACAATCGAAAAGGAGGCATTGGCCTTAATATGGGCCCTCCAGCACTTTGAGGTGTATGTGGGTTTGGGAGTAGCCCAGTTGTAGTTTATACCGACCATAATCCCCTTACCTGTTTCTGTTCACTTAACTGTCCGAACCGGCGGCTGATGAGGTGGGCCCTGTTCCTGCAGTCCTATAGTTTGGACATTCGGCACATTAAGGGCAAGGACAACGTTGTGGTGGATGCTCTCTCTCGTGCCCCGGTGGGGTAGGAAGTCTCTCTGGCTCTGGATATTTGGTGTTGTTTCGGGATCCCTTTGGGGCCTCTGGGGGGGGCTGTGATGCCCCTGTGGGTTCATCAGTGTAGAGGGTGTGGCTGTCCTATCTTGGCTGCATTGAACGCACTGATTGCAGTAACTCAGGGCACCTGGGACTGGTGCTCTGCAGCTATTTTAAAGCCTCTCTGCTCCTGTCTGTTCTCTCTCTCTGTTTTTTTCCTGCAGGCACCCGGCTCTGATGAGTATAAACCATGAGTTGACTTGAACAGTGTGGTGCAAATAAACACCTTTACCTACCCGTTGACATGTTGTGTCTCCTTTTTGTTGTGGCCTTTTGAGCCAGGTTGCAACAAACACGTTTAAATAAAAGGCTGGAGTGTTTCTTGCTCTGCCAGGTACAACAAGTGGGATTTATCTTTTATTACTATACTGTAGCATATCCTTTTTTATTCCCACCGTCACGGATATAATCATATTCTGCATTGAGATAAGATACATTTAATCCTTTTTTTTTGTTTTGTTTATCATAGTAAGTGCAGTCGGATTCTCAAAGCACCGCAGTCTCTTCTCCTAAATCCTTTTGAATTCTCCTATCCACGGAATGTGACAAAACGTTCCCCTCCCCCCTCTGTTAACTAAGCTTGGGCTGAAGTTGAATAGTCCATTTAGCTTAGGAACCTTCCTAACGGAGTGAAATGACCCGGAAGTCCCTCAGTGGCAGCCATGATAAGTGCCGTTCGAATTCTCTAGATCAGGGGTAACCAACAGGTCGATCGCGATCGACTGGTCAATCTTCAAAGCCTTCACTGTCGATCCCTAGCATTTAAAAAATAAATAAATAATATTTTCCAAAATACAAATATTTTCCAAAAAAAATAAAATGTTCATGCTCTGGTTGGTTGGTTGTTTAAACAAACTTTTTAGACCTAGCTCTGGTTTGTTGATTTGAATCACGCACAGGTCATTTTACAAACTCCAATTGGTTATTAGATATGTTGACGTCTATGAATTGCTGTATGCAATTGTGGGTGGGGTTAAAAATCGTATCTTAACGGTCATCTTGAGGAGTAACTTAAACTGTACCAAGTTCTGCTAATCTTTAACCAACATCGATATGGCTGAGGGTCCGGCGAAAAATAAATGAAAAACGTATTATTTCCATCCGGAATGGGAGCATGAATTTATTTTCACATCAGCGAAAGAGAAGACTATATGCCTCATACGCCAACAGGCGGTAGCCTTGGTGAAACGGGGCAACCTGGAGCGCCATCATGCGAGCACCCATGGTCAATTCAAAGACTCATATCCACTCAACAGCGCATTAAGAACCAAAATAATTGATGAACTGAAAAGAGGACTAAAAGCACAGCAGTCGCTTTTCATCACGTGCGCGTGCAAAGAGCAATGCAGCTATAGAAACGTCCCTCCGGATTAGCCCTATTTTGGCTCAGCACAAAAAACCATTTACGGATGGTGAGATGATTTAAAGAAGCAATGAGCGCCACAGCTGACGTCTTGTTTGCGGATTTCAAAAACAAAGAGGACATAAAAGCAAGGATAAAAAGTGTACCACTTGGTGCACCTACTGTAGCCAGAAGAGTTGAGTCATTGTCCGAAGATGTATCCCAGCAAGTATTAAAAGACTTGTCTCTCTCGGAATACCTTTCAGTTCAATTTGACGAGTCTACCGATGCCACAGACACAGCCCAGCTAGGTGTGTTTGTCCGAATGGTTTTCACAGATTTTACTGTCAAGGAGGCCTTTCTTGCCCTTATCCCATTGAAAGAAAGAACCAGGGGTGAGGATGTGTACAAGGCATTCAAGGACTATGTTCGTGAGTACAAGATTCCCATTCATAA